AATTATTTTTTTACACATGTTAACTTTAATGCTTTTTAATCAATACAGGGAGTACATTGATTTGTGTTTTTATTGTTTTGCTATGCCTTGAGTTCAACATAACTTCTAATCAGATTATACAGAATGTGTTTAAAGTTATATTAATTTGTTTGCTACACAAGCATTTATTGGTAACAATTAACCATCTGCATCAAAACTAGTACAAGGCACCTTTCACAGACTGTCAGGTTTTTAACCCTCCATTGGCAGATGAAAAACGGACAACAATGCATCTCTATAGCAGTGTGGATAAAAACTGATGACCATCAGTTTACATCAGGAAACATCAGTGTAATTTCAGGTCCACAATTTGAGATGGATCAGCTCTCCGTTTTGACTGACGAGGACTAATGTAACCTGTTGTAAACTGATTTGTTTACATCAGTTCAGGTCATGTCCGTTTTTTGTTACTGATGTCGTAATGCAGCTTGGCAAGCTCAATGCATGCTGGGGGAAAGCAAAGAATCATGGGAATTTTCTATAATAACCAAAATGGATGCAAACTCAACTGACAACGGATGTGCAAACTGTAAAGTGATTCAGTTTTTTGTATCCGTGAACCTTGACTGAACTGATGACTCTTGTCCGTGACCTAGTATAGCAAAGGTCAAAAGACTGAACTGACTAATGGCAATAACAGCTAATTAGATTCTTCCTGTATATTACAAAAACAATAAACAGAGCATCTATTTGGTTGATGAGATATTTTTCTCTCCAAATAGCTTGATAAAATAAATCAATTGCTGCGATAGGAAAATCACAAAATGCAAGGGTGCCATCAAGTAAACACCCAGTTCACAAATAGCAAAATCAAAGGAGCAATGCAAAGCCTGAAAATACGGTAGAACTGGGAGTCCCATGAAGTGATAAATGATAAGTTCACTTTCATTTTCTTGTTCATTTTCTTCTCTTTCACGTTAAGCTACAATCTAGCTGTATAGCCAAAACTTTTTTGCTTTGTTTTAGATCAGGGGTCTCAAAATCAATTCAATCGGGGGCCACTCGACACATCGATTCATATCTGCAATTAGGGATTCCTGCGTCAGGAACTTGTGTTTCCTGCAGCAGGAATGCCTCATCTGGCGTTTACAAGTGACAGCTGTCATCCATTCAAGTAAATGATCAGGTGACAGCAGCTGCATGTAAATGCCTGCACACCGCATGTAATGGTATGTGATATGATTACATGCGGTTAGAAAACACTCTCCCTGGATGCACAATCGATGCGTCCAGGGAGAATGTTAGGGCCACGAAAAAGGACGTATAGGAGTAGTGGCCCCATGGGATTGTCGCACTTCCAAAACAATAAGACGTATTAAATAAGGTAATTTAATCATAAGCATTGGTTTTATATAAAAGGTCAATTAATTAAAAAAAAAATGTATGTGGTATGTTGTCGGATACGCTGCTGGCTCTTTTTTCTATTTTCAGGTTGCTAGGGGCATAGCTGTATCTGGGCAGAATCAAAGGTAACGATATGACGCTTATCAATGGTTGCGGCTGTCACCGTGCAGAATCCCTGGACAGATGGCATATGGATTGGTCTTCTCGTTTCTGAGGGAAATCAGCTGGCCAATTGTGGTGTCATTAAGTGTATAAAAACTGGCCTTAGTTACTGGGCAGTTCATCTTTACCACACAGTTCAGCAGGAGTAGTCGGATCAGCTTCACCTCTGGATTGCCTGGAATTTGCTTCCCGCCCTCCCGCCCGTATCTTGGGCTTGTCGCGGTCATCCTTTGTTGGGGTAATGTCGCCCACTTTGTGGGTGGACAGGAAGTAGAGGTCTTAAGTGGTTTCATGGACTCTTTGCTCGAGTCTTTTGACTGAGCATTATTGGAATTTTATTACTAGATAATGGCATCCTGAGGGCAGGTTCACACCATTTTCTGGACTATATCAGCACCTGATTTGAAACGCAGTGCATTGAGTTTTGCCGTGTTTTTGCCACGATTTTGCCACGATTTTGCCACGTATGGAATTTTTTAATTTTAATTTTTTTTGTTTAGCTTAAAATGGTCCTACAGGTGCGGTCAAATGCATTGTATATGTTTTTGATGCGTTTTTATCCGTTCCTGTGTATTCCAGACTAGCAAAATAAGACAAGCGGTATTTTTCTGGTCTGGTCTGAAATGGACTGCGCTGGTGTGAAGAGACCAGAAATAACATAGGGATACATTAGGATGCATTTTGGGTCTGGGAACAATCTGGTCTGGTCTGGAGATGATCTGGATGTGGTGTGAATGGGCCCTAAAAGCAGATGAGCAAACACGGGGGGGGGGAATCAGGAACCCATTTTGCAGAATTTGTTCATGTCCGTTTACATCAGATTCCCCATAGACACTCATGGGGTCTGGCAGTTTCAATGTTCTGAAAAGACTGTATGGACACGGATGTCACAGCTGTGACATCTGATCCGTACCGCTGTGATCAGGAGAGGATCTGTGCACGGATTCTCTCCTGATCAGCCCATTTGAAAGGGGCTTAAAGCTGGCCATACAATTATTGTTTTTTTTAATTCCCCCATCAAAGCTAAACAAGGTGGTTGAGGTAATCCCCCCCATTTATTGAATTCTGACAGCAGCAGGTGTGCCGCTGTCAGAATATCCGGACAGGGATTCCAGCTGATTTGCTGCATTCCCTGTTCTGCTAAGAATTTTTGGACTGGCTCCCTTCTACGAAAGTCAATCGAAAAATCGACTTGTCAAACGGAGAGAGGTACTGAACGGGCCATGCACTGCTTGAATTTTTACCATGTCAGCTGGACTCGAGCAGTGTATGCCCAGCTTTGGAAGACATAGCAGGACCTCAGGGTGTAATCTAATACATCGGTCGCCAACCTTTCGGACCTCTTGGACCACTAAGTTCATCATTTTAAATCCCGCGGACCACTAATATGAATTTTCTAAAAACATAAATACATTTGTAAAAAAATAATCAGAGAACTTCCATTTTATTAATATGAAATGCACCTATTTAATATACCAAAATTATAAATGCTTATTTAATTATAACAAAATCGTAAATGCTCAGATCACTGGCTGCCTGTACTGAGAGCCGTGCATTCCTTGTGACAGCTGCTGCTTGAGTCAGTGAGAGACAACCCTGGAACCTCCGTGCCGCTTCAATGGCGGCCCAGCCTGCACGGCATCAGAGGGGCACGGGGGACAATTGCCTCCCTGCCCCCCGGCCCAGTCCACCCCTGATCGAAACAATACTGAAGCGTATGACTCGGCAACGGTTGTATGAGTCAAGCATACGGCTTGCCTCATACAACTTAAGACTAACCGGACGTCACGCTGCGCCTCTCTTGTTTCCCCCTCTCTAGTACAGTTTGTGAATTTAGCGCAATATAAAGGCGAAAATTGTCCTTCAGAATATAAGAATTTCTTAGAATATTATTTTTGTTTTATTATTAATAAAACATAAAAAATGCAAATAATGTCCAGATTTTTCTGCGGACCACCAACATTTTCTCTGTTGGCGACCGCTGATCTAATACACAGCAAAAACTGGTTAATGGGCCCACATACATAATCTCTAGTGTATGCTGTAAAAATGATCTAGGCAACAAACCAAACCAGTAGAATAGACTATAGTCATAATAGAAACAAATGCAGTATCTGTCAAATATCCTAAAAAGGATACATCGATAATTATAGTCCTAAAAGTGTAAGAAATAGGATAGAATTCACACAGAGTAAACCGTGATGGAAATTAATTATTTCTCCAAGGTGAATAGTGACATACAGTACTGCCATTACCAGTTCCTGGACTGAAGTACAAACCTTTCAGTATCAATATTTACAGTATGCAATCTCTAAAACGCAGTGCTGACGCTTTCTGTATTACACTCAAACCAATCCTGCATTAATGTTTAATTGAAGTGCTGAGTATCCAGTCAAGTGTGGTTTTATGCATTACCTCCACATTCTATAAATCCTGTCTACTGAGACTTATTGTATTTCCTGTGAACACATATAGAAATCAGAATCATTCTGCTAAAATTCACAGTGGAGTGAATACAATACAATACAATACAATACAATATAATACAATACAATACTATGCAATACAATACTATACATTACAATGCAATGCAATATAATACAATTCTATACAATACAATACAATACAACTACAAACTCCAGGCTATGCTGCAAAGTCTCTATCTTTCCATCTCTATTACAGAGGCGAGAAATCCCCCCAGCCAAGTAGGACGAAGAGAGGGGTGTCCCCTGGACTTTTCAAAGTCAAATGGGGAATCTCTCGTTCAATACCTATAGGAAGAGTAACCTACAGGAGCAGAAATGCGGCAAAGTCAGCCTGCTCTAGGGTGAGTAGTATATAGACAGGTGTTGGCTGTCCTGCCTGTCATAAAGGTAAAGTACAATGCACAATCATCAGAACCCAGAGGATGGGGAATGCGGAGTCTGCAGTGTGGATCCCAGCCCAATCATGCTCTCCTTCCATTCATTATCATGACAGATAACTCAGCAGTGTCATCGGGGTGTCTTTCGAGTTTTATTATGTAGACAAATGAATAGGACAACAATGACATGAAGCTAGAATGCCTTCGTGGTGTTTAATGCTACTCTTCCATTAGTGATTTATTGGGACCGATCCGCCTTTGGAGAACGGATGGGGGAAGGGGATAGCATGGTGCTGATGCTGCAGAATTTTTGCAGAGCAAAAACTAAAAAAAAAACCGTAGAGATGTTTAAAGGCAGGGCAAAACCGCAGAGCCAGAACACGCCCAGTGTCATTAACCGATTCGGTGCCAAACATCTGCAGTGTGGCCCCACCACCCCAACATTAACACCTTCAACTCCTAGACAGACAGACAGGAAAAACAAAAGTCGGGCGCATTACTGTGATGACAGGTAAAGAGATGACAGCATGCATTTGATTATTGGAGCAGTCGATCGGTCATCAGAGAAGACGGCATATTTGCTGGGCTTTACCTGTATATGGAGTTTCTTGTCCTGCTTGTCTCTCTCTCCCCCGGTTATCTGCAACTCTGTCTGCAGTAGTACAGAGACACGCGTGCTCCTTCCCTCTCCCCTCCCTCTCTCTCCCTTCTCCTAATTCCTATTCCTCACACGTCTCCCTGCATCCTGCTCCCGATTGGTCACTCTCGGCCTCCTAAGATGCTAAACTAGTCCCACTGGGATCAGCAGTGACCCAGATGGTAACAGAAGGAAATCATTCACCTTTACCGATTTTTTTTTTTTTACTCAGTATAAGTGAGTAGTTCTTATATGACTAGCTGTAATGTAAGAGGATTCAATGTATACATAGATGATTTCTCCTTCTCCCTACCTCTCGATTTTACTGTCTCTTCTTCTATAGAGAATATACACTGCCACTGTAGATTGCTGAGCCATGAAGCCAGGGAGCTGGTCTCCATGCAGTGATGTATAAAAATAAGGAGTCCAAGACTGCATCCCACATGTATGGGAACCTTAGTGTGTGTGTGTGTGTGTGTGTGTGTGTGTGTGTGTGTGTGTGTGTGTGTGTGTGTGTGTGCGCATTTCAGATACCAAGCTGTCCTTTTGAAATTGTGGGGCTTGGGCTATTATTATTTTAATTTTACAGGATTTATATAGCGCCAACAGTTTGCGCAGTGCTTTATCTACAGAATAAATACTACGTTGATGGGGGGAAAAAATGGGGTGCATTTTTGAGTATGAGGTTTGGATTTGCAGCAAATCAGCAGGGTCCCGGAGAATTCTTGTCTCAATTCGTCAGGCAATTTTTTTTACCATGGTCAGCAGCTCTGAAAGCCCAATAATGGGGGAGTTTGCCAAAAGAACCCTAACCATCAGAGGTGGCCTTGTGGTCAGCAGCGAAAGGGGAGATTGTCGAGCGGTGCTTTTGGCATGTGGATTGGCGCTGTAGACGTCTTGGTTTCTGCATATAAGGTATTTATATGAACTGAGTTCTATGTTGCTGGATTTCTGGCATTCCAGTATTTTTGGGTATTGGCTAGTACGATCTCTTGGTGCTTTCTCTGATTGCATTGTAGACTTGACTTCATGGGGATGCCTTCTTACCAGGTAATGGTGTATAGATGCTTACACAACTGGTATGTATCAGGTTTCTTGACCGTTTATTGTGTTTCTATAGTGAGCATAGCACACAATGCTTTTGTATATATTATTTTAAGATACAGTATATTATATGCCCATCCCCCTGGGTCCTCCCAATAGTGGGATTGCCTGTCCGGGTGGGTGATCTGACTTGACGTGCGGGTTCTGGGGCCTGCCACTCTTTAAATACACACTCTGCACGTTGCTTTTTGAACTGGTATGTTTCTCTAGAATGACTATGTTAAATGGAATAACCCATAATGTGTAATGGTTGTTTGGCTGTTCTTTCTTAAGAAACATTAAACCTCCTCTTTCATGAGGAAGCGCAGTGAGCATGAAATGCGTAGAAAGAGTGAGCCACCCTCAAGAGACATTAAGGAATCTTGTTTATCTAATAGAATCACGTTTTTAAGAATATAATTCACAACGTTGTGTCACCAGCTCCGATAAATCTCCCCTGGCTTTATTATTTTTTTTCACTGTGGTTAACCGAGGGGGACCTGCAAATGCAAGGATACGAGGATCCTGGATTTCTTCTTTAAAAGGTAAGACAAAGGATGGTCAAGTGAACTCTGGAACCTCAGCAACACATTTGCCAACACTAACCTCACCATCTCCAGCAGCAACGATAACACAATAGGTTTCACTTCTGCTGTTGGGGAGGAAGAGAAAAAGAAGTTGTCCCTAGTCCACCCTTACGGTTAGTCTAAATACCATCTCAGTTAGGCTGCTAGCACTTCAACTGCTCCTCTATTGATTGGTAGAAACAGCCCCCTTCCGTCAGTTCATGGCCATGTTTTCAGTAAACATGGGCAGGGATGGTATATATTGTTCAATGTACACTGGATGAACCTTCTGACCAATATGTGATGGTACGCGGTTCCAATCCTACTGTGCTGCCACCAAGATGTGACAATACCACTCTTAGCCTCACCTTGCACAGAGATTTTTAAGCTAAAGGGACAACAATCTAAGGCCAGCAGACTGAGAGTGATCGTCACTGGGGCTGGTTAGCTCCGCAGTGAACCCTTTACACACACAAATAATAGCAAATAATGTTTTAATGTAAACACTCAGGGCTTGTTCACACCGAAAGTATGTGCGTTCCAGAGCAGTAGCATCTGGAACGCACCGCGATCGCTAAGAAACTTCCCCCCGTGTTCTGGGGCGGGAGGGGGCGTGGCGGGGGCATGCGTTTGCAGTGGAATGGAATGCTGGCAAAGTTTTGCCACGCATCCAATCGCACTGCGGGCGGGGGACGTGGAAGCTGTGCCATTGAATTCAATGCACCGTAACGCACCCTCCTGCCTTAGAACGCGGGGGGAAGTTTCTTAGCAATCGCGGTGCTTTCAAGCAGCTACCACTCTGGAACGCACACGCTTTCGGTGTGAACAAGCCCTCAGAGGGAAATTTATCATAACTAGTGCAGACAAAATCTGGAGCAGCTGTGCATGGCAACCAATCAGCCCTCTCTCTCATTTTCAAATCTTGAATTAATCTAACAAACTGAAGAAATAGTCTACTTTGTTACCAGGGGGAAAAGCTTCAGATTTTGTCTGCTCCAGTTTTGATAAATTCCCCTCTCACAGTTCCCAGGAAATGCTGTGACAGTTCTCAACTTAAGAAATGCCTGTGACGTCCACTGTCCCTCCAGACAGAAATATAATAGGTTTTACAAAATGCTAGCGATCTTCATAAAGACAAGGACACGTTCTTATTTAGAGTATAGAGTGATTTTAAAGAATCATTTTTAATAAAGGAAAAGTTGCAGAAAAATATGCAAAAAAGATGTTACAGAAAAGAGACAAATATCACAGCAAAACTAAAAGTGAATAAGAATGAAATTACTTAGCACAGGCCTGGGTTCTATGGGTTCCAGCAGAGTCCAGTCAATGAAGTCAGTCAATGAAGCAGAAAAGGAATCTGGCATTGACTCTCTCGAAACAAGGCTTGGCAGATGTTCTGTTCTTGATGGTCAATGAGAGCGTTTTTTGATGGTACACAATGGTACACAAGAGCTCAAAGCTGCCTCCTGCAGCAGCTTTTTGTGGGCCCTCTAGAGGGTGTCAATAAGCCAGCCCCCAACCCAATTAGAAAAGCCTGGGTAGTTAAGACAGGAGGGCTGAAGAGTGCTTTATTATCTTTCACATAGCCCTCCCATAACGTCAGTTCCACAAAAGCAGCAATATTTGTATGCATCCACATGCTACCACCTGATGAATTTTAAATCATTGTGGGTTATGAAATTAGCTTTGTATAGATACCAGACTTGACATACGTTTTGTTTATGCCTCCCTCAGAAGAGGTAATGTGTGTCTTTGGCCCCCTGTACCTCCTAAGCCAGGAGTGCATGGTGTGCCTGCAATGAGTGTCCCATAACACATCTCTCTCTCTCTGTATATATATATACATATACATGTATATTTTTTATTAATGTAACCAAAGTTATGAAACCAAATTTCACTAGCATAGATCATCTGGCATGGCCTCTTTCTCAAGCCGAAACGCGTTGCCTACGCTATGCGATCCTTCACATTTCTAGCACTGTGTTGCATTCCTTCTCTTCCTCGTCTCCTTCTTGCTTTGTGCACATTTTCTCCCAGGATCAAGGTTTCCCCTCCGTGCAGCATCAGCCAGCCGCCACACTGTCAGATACACAGTGCATGGCGTCTTTTCCCCACTACAGCTATCACGGCTTAATCTGGCCAGCTTGCTCTGCCACCTTCACTGCTCCGACGAGAACCACCTTCTGCATCGCTGAGCTCCATCCAGCTCTCTGTCGCATCAGTCATGACAAGTTCTTTGATTCTTCCTATCAATCCAGCCAGTAATTAATTAGCCAGAACAGACCATCAGAGGGCTGCTCCTAGCATTACAGAAGAGGACTATACACTGCAGTCTTGAGGACTCTGCCTTCTACAATCATAGCAGTATTTCTGACTAAGGACGCTGATCATCCCTTCATCAAGAGAGTGCCATTCTTTTTAGTCTTGTTTGGACAGTTGCACATAATCAGGACACTTGTTACATTGTTATTGAAGTCTTCCCACAGACAGCTAGTAACGGTCAGCTATTACTCTAGTTCCTATCACCAGCATTTGTGTTAGGTTGAAGCGCTCCTTTTGTTTTTTTCTGTTGTATTACACAGGACACCTCTGCCTGATTCAAGAGCTTGCACACCTAGCACTGGCACCATTAGTTCCCTCCATCCAGTTCAACATCATTAATTGTGAATGTGCTTGATTTATCTCCATTTTTGCCCCCAAGCAGTGGATGCAGCTTTCATGCCTGGGGGACACCAGACCAGAATTGCTAGCAGCTCGCAAGACCCAGGTCTAGACCTGGTGGCACATCCCATGCTAGCTGCAGCCAGGCCAGGTCATGTGTGATAATGGCAAAAACTTGCTAGCTGCCGTTTGGCTGGGCAAGATCACACATGTGCCTTGCCTAACCCATGTCCTAAACTTCAAAAGTGCAATGATTATCCCACAGTAATTATTATGCCCCTAGAAGTCTGATCTCCAACATCAATCAAGTCACTTCTGAGCCCATGCCCTTATCTAACATTTTTAGTTTGTTAATGGACAAGAGTGATGAGCTCCTATCTCTGTCACTCTGCTTTCTCTTCCTATGAGCATGCTTCCTGTCAGCACAATGAATGATTGGCTTATTGTACTGCTACTTCCTCTAACAATTCAGATCTGCTATACAGACACTGTAAGAGGCTGATACTGGGTCAAATTCAAATACGTATACTACTTGCATGTTAAAAATGTATTTAATGATGTACTGATGATGGAGATGTGGAATGGAGACAAGAGGAAGACTCCATGAGAAAAAGACATGAGGCTGCTGGGAAGGCAGGAAGGAAAAAAATTTAATTGAAAAAAAAAAGGCTGTCCCAGGTGCTGGCATCTTTAACCTTAGTAGTACTTCCTTGACAAAACAACAAGGCAAGTAGAAGTATTAG